ACGTTGGCCCAGGATCGAGCATTGTTTCGTTCTGCTGTGCATGGGGTCGCTATGAGTCGGTTCCGACTCGATGGCACCTGACAACAACAACAACAACAACTTTATCAAACATGAAGTCCTTTTCGAGGGACTGGTTCTTCTGATAACATGTCAAAAGTATGTGAAACGAAGTCTCACCATCCTGGCTTCTAAGGAACATTCTAGCTATACTTCCTCTGAGACAGATTTGATCATTCTTCACTTACAACAGTGTTGTTCTTAGATGCCGTCAGGTTGGTTCCAATTCACAGCCACCCTATGTACAACAGAACCAAACACTGCCTGGTTCTGCACTGTTCTCACAATTGTTGTTACATTGGAGCCCATTGCTGCCGCCACTGTGTCAGTCTATCTCACTGAGGGGTTTCCTCTTTTTCATTGACCCTCCACTTTGCCAAGTATGATGTCCTTTTTCAGGGACTGGTCCCTCCTAATAACATGTCCAAAGTATAAGAGACAAAAGTCTTTCCACCCAGGCTTCTATCTGGCTGTACATCTTTTACGACAGATTTGTTTGTAATTCAACATTTTGTTGTTGTTGTTAAGTACCACTGAGTCTGTTCCGACTCAAATCGACTCTGTATAAGTTTCCAAGGAGCAGCTGGTGAGCTTGCACTGCTAACCCTGTGGTTCAAACCGACTTTGCAGTCCAGTACATTAACCCGCAGTGCCATACCAGGATTCCCATTTAAGAGAACAGAAAGCCTCATCTTTCTCCTCAGGAGCGACTTGTAGATTCAAACTGCTGACATTGTAGTCAGAAGTCCAACCAGTCACCACTGTGCTACCAGACATGATATTATGATGTTAAGTACCTATGAGTCAGTTCCGACTCATAGCGACCCTGTATAGGGTTTGCAAGGAACAGCTGATGGGTTTGAACTGCCAACTTTGTGGTTCACAATCCAGTGCTTATCCTGTAACACCACACCAGACATGCCATTGTTGTTAAGTGCCGTTGACTTGACTTGGGCTCAGCGACCCTGTATAGGGTTTCTGAGGAGCGGCTGGTGAGCTTGAATCAAAGGACTTGCAGTTCAAACCGACCTTGCAGTCCAGTGCATTAACCCATAGCACCACACCAGGACTCTACACCAGACGTAGTTCCCACTTAAATAAGTGAGTGAATGAATGGAAGGAGACACATGACTTGTGGATGCCTTCCTTGTTTACTCTCTTCCAAACATTTGTTCCATGTTCCTGCTGGAATACATACTATCTCATGCCTCAAAGTTACATTCCCAACACACAACCCCTGAATTAACCTGCGAGATGATGTTAACTGATCTAGTGTGCCAGCCAGACAAGGGGGGAAAGAAAGTAGATAGAGGACGTTCTGTACCCAGAAACATCCACTTCTGCCCTGCCTGGGTCTGAGCCACCTGGCTTAGGGTTCTTCCCCATGTGTAGGAATCAAAGCTGCAAAGATTATGTCCCTGGAGCTTCTGCAACGGCAAACTTCTATTTGCACCTCTAATGTGAACAGGATCATGGTGCAATATCACCTAAGCTGTCCATTCAGTCATAAATCATTACCAAAGGCTTCTTAGGGCTACAATGATGAATCAAATAGATATTTACCCTGCCTTAGTGGAGCTTCAGTTTCATCGGACAGACAGGCAATCAGATAATATCTAACTTTTAAAAACAGTACTTAGGATATGCTGGGCACTGGATTTTACATATGAATTGATTTATTTTTATATTTGTTAATTCACTACATCACAACTCACTGATGTCCTGTTATTGTTATTCCCAGTTTACAAATGAAAGGACTAATGCATTATAGTTATAGACACTGTGATAAGTCATGAAGGTAAAGTATAGGGAATTGGAAAACGCCTTAGCAAGAAGAGTTAATCTAGTTCTAAAGTTCAGGGAAGCCAACAAACTGCCATCAAGTTGATTCCAACTCATAGTGACCCTGAAGAGCGTTCCTGAGGCTATACATTTTTACGGGAGCAAAAAACCTCATCTTTTTCCCATGGAGCAGTTGGTGGTTTTGAACTGCTGGCTTTTCAGTTAGCAGTAGTCCAGTGCTTGGGTTCAGGACAAGTATTTAGCTATATAAGGTTGAAGGGAGGTCTGAAGGGAAAGTTGGAATATTGTAGTCAAGAGCTCTGGCTGAAGAGAATGTTTGGTAACAGAAACAGCTGATACAAAAGGATAAGCACTAGTTTGAGGAACTGAAAGGCAGTGTAGCAGCAGCACAGGGAACCTGAGATGAGGTAGAAGAGGTAAGCACAGCTCAGATCACTCAGGGTGTGATCAAGTCAAAGAAGCAGAGTGGGAGTTAGGAGATTTAGGGCTTAGTTCTAGCCTTGCTCCAAATAACCGTAACCACCTCTCCATGTGTCAGTTTCCTCACAGGAAAAATAAGAGGATGGACCAGAACTTTTTGGTGGCTCCTGACATTCTACAGCTCTGACTGTAGGTAAGTCTTTGTTGTAAAGAATTGCCAATCTAATCAAATCCTGGATGCTAGGCCCAACTTCTCTGAAGATGTGGTAAATACAAATGATGATGAACAATAAATACAGCTCTGAGCATGGTGTATTTCTCTTTCTTGAAATAAAATTTGAACCACATATAATAACAGCATACAAGAATAAGAGAAATGGCCAATTTTGAGCGCTTATGGTGTGCCAGGGTTGTTCTGGGTATATTTAAATCTCTATTTCCTTACAACATCCCAGTTACAGATAAGAAAGCTGAGGCCTTAAATTAAGGATTGCATAATTTTGGGAAGGTCCTCACCACCCAAAGTGACTACTGAGCATGCCCAATCCTGTTTCATATGGTCAGGTGTATTAACTTGAGCAGTGACAGTGTCTAGTTTTGCTCACTGATTTAGACTTTTGAACGCAGCTCTGACTCCAAAGCCCATTCTCTTGACCACCACCAGATCATACTGCATTCCCTTTTTGAAACACGGGCAACTCTATAAATAACATGATATAGTCTCTAGAAGTCCTTTCTGGGTGAGGAAAGCGCTTTTTATAGTTAGGGGTTGTTTCTGTTTACTTCGCCTCCTCTAGTACTGGTTAATCCTGTCTTCAGCTGTGTCCTTCACCGTCCTTACACTGTACTCCTAGGTTTTCCTCCCTACAAAAGACAACCCCATAAGACCACAGGGAGTGTGTGTGCCAACAAATAAATTTCAGTTTTCTTTCTCTCCAAGTCAGCCTACCTTTCTATAAATAATCCTCCTTCCTCTTTTCGGGCCTCTGAGCAATTTGGTCACTTAACTTTAACAGGCACACAGGGTAGCTGGGGTGAGATTGGACAACGAGAGTGACCTTCCCCATAGTATTTAGCCCATAGAAGACGGATTAGCAAACCTTAAACTTTTGTAAATATTTATTTTGGTTTCCTACAGCACTCCCGAAGCTGCACCCTCTTCGTTTCAGCCTTACCCAGTTCCCACTCGGCTCTCTCCGCCACACAAAGCCCAACCCGTCCATCTCATCTTTGCAAACCTAGAGAACTTCGGTCCCCATGTTGAAACTCGTCGGTGGCGGTGGCGGTGGCAGTGGCGGGCAGGACTGGGCATGCTCAGTAGCTGGGACAGGTCTGGAAGACTAGGAAGCCGCGTTTGAAGTCGCGCGGCCGGGGAAATCAAGAGAGAACTGGCGGCGGGAGCCGGGGCTGGGGTTGCGCCAGGACTCGGGGTTCCACGCCCAGGGTGAACCAGCTGGAAGCAAACACCGCGGGGCCGGTGGGTAGGGGGTAGGGCGCGGAGAGGGTGGGGGGGGGGTGAGCCGGTGGGAGAAGGGGAGGAGCGCCCGACTCCCCATCCCCCGGCGCAGGCTCTGCGGCTGCTGAATCGGAAGCCGCAGGGAGGATCCGGGGAAATAAGGACGCCCGAGAATGACCTCCAGCGAGGCTGCCTGAGCCGGGGCCTGCGCGCTGCCCCGCCAGCCCCAAGCATGGACGACGGCGGCGGGCAGCCGGAGCGCTCGGCCCCGCACGCTTCTGGGGCCCCCACCGGCTCGGTCGCCGTGAATGGGCTGCTACACAACGGCTTCCACCCTCCACCCATTCAGTCGCCTCGCCTCTGCAGCCGGGGCTCCGCGGGCGGCGACGATGCGGGGGCCGAGCGCCTCCAGCTACTGCCGGAGCTCCAGCCGCAGCCCCCTCAGCACGACTCCCCTGCCAAGAAATGCCGGCTGCGGAGGAGGATGGACTCGGGGAAAAAGAACAGGCCGCGTAAGTCCGGCCGGGAGGGAAGCGCGGGCGCGAGGCGGACACGGCGTGTGGGGCCCGGGGAACGACGGTGGTGGGCTCCGTGGTGCACCCGGTGCGCCCGCCGTCGGGGCTGCACGCAGGGGGCTCCAACGCTCAAGATCACTGCTAGAACCTGATCTTGCTCCCATCCGTAGACTGGGCCGATTGGAGATGGAGCTTGAGCTGGTCTCGGCTCTGTAAAAGGCGAACTCGCTGCTGGCCTAATTGTAGCTGGGGAAATAAATGCTTGTGTGTGAACGTATTGAGAGCGTCTGGGAGAGCGGGCGTGCACTGCCGGCGCTGCTCTCCGCCTGGTCTCCCCTCTCCTCAGAGCTCGCCTTTCTGTGGTTGGCGCTTTGGCGACCGGCTTGCCCTTTGAATCGCAGAGTAGTCGCCAGCACCTCGGGTCTATTGGTGAGCGCAAAGTCCGGAGGCGTGGAGTTTGACAACCCCCAAATCACAGACTATTAAACGCTGCTTCTTAGCAGCCAATGAGAGAGCTTGTTGGGAGGGACACACCCACTGATACCATGTGGGTCGGAACTGTGTGGACCAATAACGATTAGAGGTGTATCTTTTTTTTTTTTTTTTGAGGGGGGGCGGGGATGTGGAGTTGAGGGTTTGCAATGGTAATGTACAGCATAGAAAACAAATGTTATTTCACAATCTAAAGTGTGTATATATAATGTTAGATTATAAAAGAATACCTTCCCCGCAGAACGTTTTGGAATGTAAATTTGTAGGTTGAATTTCAAACTGGTTTTTGTTTTTTATCTGAGCCGAACCTCTTTCAACTGGTTACCTCTTTCTGGGTCTCTTTAATGAAGCTTATAAATGCAAAAAAGCAAAGTAAGTAGAATGCATGTGGTAAGTGATTGATTGTATTCAGACATGCACCTTTTGTATATAGATTATTCTGTTTGGTAGGAAAATTGCTAGATACAGTTTGATTTGTCTGTAAAAGTTTCTTTTCTTGTTTATTTTGACTCAGCTTTTCGGCATGGAATTAAAAATTTTTAAAGACTTTGGAAAACAGTTTGACATGACTGTGGGGTCATGGTGGCTCTGAAACTTGTGTTTTGTAGGTCTAAAATGTTAAGTTTGAAAGGTAAGGATTTGTATGGAACTTTGGAAGCCACACAACAAATTTGATGATGGCTCTAAGTAAGTAAGGCATCTAGCACCTGAATTTTAATTTTACCTTTGTTTTCATATTTATAGAAAATTACATTCTTTATGAGCTAAATATTGATTACTTAAATTTGCTAACCTGTTTTGCTTCTTTTGAAACCATGTTTTAGATGTTTCTCAGATCTGTATTAACAGATAGCAATAGAGTTTGCAATATAAATACATATGCTAACGTACAATAAAAGATCATTGTAATGGAATTTTAAAAAATAATTTTTGTTTAGAATTGCCAGCTTGAATGGTCTATGCTTAGTTTAGGTCATAACACCTCGAAATAAGTTTTGGAGAATTGAAAATACACTAACAGTATCTTTACAGGGGAAAAACTAACCAGGAATCTTAATGTGTGTTTGCAGATCCCTAGGAATTATTGTTTAAAAGTGCAAGAAAATATAACTTTCTCTCTGTTGTCTGCATGTTCGAAATTAGTTTGAAACTATCATAGGTGCTTTATGAATTTTTAAAAAAGTGATCAGAATTAACTTTTCATTATCCTACCATATTTTCTTTTCTCAGATTTGAATAAACATTTCTAACATAAGTTTTAAATGTTCTCAGTCACATCTTTCCTACTCACTATCAAAATTTCTTAGAATTTAATATGCCAACCTTTGTGAGTTGTTTTAGTTTTTAGCTTTTCGTTATAAATTGGGTGAAGGTTTGCCAAACAGATCAGTTTTCCATTCAGCAATTCATACACATTTTTCCTCATGTCATTAATTGTAATCCCCACTTCCTCCGCGTGTTTCCCATTTCCATTCTTCCTTTACTAATTCTTCCTGTCTTCTGAACTTTGTCCCTGGGTAAATGCTGCCCTTTGGATCTCAAATGGTTAATTATTCTAAGAGTGCTACCTCTCTAGTGTTATTGTTCACCTTCTATATAATAAACCCACTGTCATAAAATCAATTCCAATTCATAGCAATCCCATATAGATAGGGTTTCTGAAGCTGTAAATCTTTTCAGGAGCAGAAAGCCTTCTCTTTCTCTCATGGAGTGGCTGGTGGGTTTGAACTACTGACTTAGTGGCTAGCTGTTCAGTGCTTATCCTACAGCATCACCAGGTCTCCTTATAGACCTTGCTCTTGTTTGGCTGAAAATTGAGACAGAGGTGATTTCTGTTCCAGGCCTGAAGGGTGACTAAGGGCCAGAGTCTCAGGGGTTACACTCATCTCTGTCTACTTAGGAAGCCTGGTCTATCTTATGTTTTTGTTATACATATTTCTTCCACTCTATGGTCCTGTGGGCTAATACGCTGGACTGCAAAGCCCGTTGAACCGCAAGATCGGCAGTTCAGGCTCACCAGCCATTTCTTGGAAACCCTATACAGTGTTGCTGTGGGTTGGAACTGACTCGACGACACTTAACAAAAGTATCTAGGACAGTCTAATGTGGTCCACTTCAGAGTAGCTGGCAGTAGTAGTGACGTACCATCTAGTTCTCAGGATACTGGAGGCTGAGGTTCATAGGGTCCGTTAGTCCAGACAGGGAGAGACAGACCAGTTGTTAAACCTCAGATGGCAACTCACAAGCTTTTAAGACCCTAGTCACTACTCATCCAGGTAGGATGTAAAACATTATCTTTTTGGGCTGCATTCATGAGTTTTTTAATAAAAGGAAATATTACTCAATTACTTGATTTTTTTTTCTAAGAGTCCTGGTGTGGCACTGCAGGATAAGCACAGGACTGCAAACTTCAAGGTAGCAGTTCAAACCCACAGTCATGCCTCAGAAATCCTATGCAGGGTCTTTAGAGCAGGATCCTATGGCACTTAACAACAACAAAAGAAATCTACTCACAGTTAAGCATCACCCTATTTTATGATGGCTAGTAAGTTTGACATGAGTGGTTGTTAACAAGAGTATTTGAGTATTTTAAATGTGAAATTTAAGGGTACTGTTGGTGGTAGAGAAACACAATCCCTACTTACCATCTTATTGGTGAAGAAATGGAAGACCCTAAGTAAGATGGATTGGCACAATGTTTTCAACAGTAGACTCAAACCACAGTGATGGTGAGGATGGTGCAAGAGTGGGCAGTGTTTTGTTCTCTTGTACATAGAGTCTTTGAGTTGGAACTGGATTGACAGCACCTAACAACATCACCTTTCAACACCAGGTCCTTGCTTCTATCTAAACCAGAGGTGAATTGGAACAGGCACTTTCATCAGATGTTGTTAAGTGTTCTCAAGTTGGTTTCGACGCATAGCAACCCTGTATAGGGTTTCCAAGAAGCACCTGGTGAATTTGAACGACCGAACCTTGTGATGCAAACTGACCTTGTGGTCCAGTACATTATCCATACCAGGATACCTGCCATTCGATAGGCACCTGGAATGCAGATGTAGGCTAGCATGTTTGTTATTTGGTAATATTTTGAGACGAGTGCAATATATGAAAATACTAAATGTTTGAAAATGATGACTAGAATGAAAGAAACAGCTCATTCTGTTTTTTAGACTATGTTTAAAAGTTTAAATCTGAGCCTTCAGTGTAGGAACTCCTCATGATTGTATCTGAAAACCAGATCAGTGGCAGGTTGATTTTTCCTTAAACAATAGAAGGAAAAATGGGTGCCATTGCCTTACCATTTACACCCTTGAAAGGCTTTCTTTCCCAAGTCAAACTGCTTCATCAAGCTTTCTTGTTGATTTTGCATGCTTCTGCTACTGACTTGCTACATATATATATATATATATATATATATATATGTATATATAATATATATGTTCTCCGTCACGTTACTCAGTCTCATCTTGAAATGATCTAGTCCAGGTTGGTGTTTCTTGTACCTTCGAAGTTCTGTGACATGCAAGAGCTCACACATATTGTTCCTACTTGACTTCTACACTAGTTACCCATTTTGCCACATAACTTAGTAATTAATTATGCAGAGTATTGTCTGTCTGTTTGTTTGCCTTGCGCTGATTCTTTTATGTGTGTTGTCTCGTCTCTCCAGTAAAACTGGAAATCTTTGATTAGAGATCAAATTTTGCCTGCATCTTGAGTTCATGGATATTTGATTGATGTTACAGAATAAAGGTGATGTCATCGCCACTTCATCCCTGCAATGGACTTTGGCAAAAATACTTCAACAGTGTTTGCAGATTCCATAAGCCACCAGTTGTTGTTGTTAAGTGCTGTCAAGTTGATTCTGACTCATAGTGACCCTGTACAGTTTCCAAGGAGCAGCTAGTGGGTTTGGAATGCCGACCTTGTGGCAAACAGTCCAGTGCTGCTCCTACAGTGTCACACTAGGAGTAGAGAGATTCATATAGTCTCTGCACCTTGGTGTGCTTGTCATTCTTTGAAGGATGCACAAGTAGCAGTACTTAATGTGGTCATCTCATTTCCCAAATATTTGTAAACCAATAATAATCCTGACTAATTTGTTTAAGTGGGATAGCCATTCAAACCCAAAAGCCTGGTTACATAACCTCTATGGCTTAGTTTCAGTATAACAGATAACAATCATACTAATTCATCAGGTCAGTGTGAGGGCTAAATGAGTCCTGGTGTGGCGCTGTGGGATAAAGCACTGGTCCACAGGTGGGTTTGAACCATGAGGTGGCGTTTCAAACTCACCAGCCTCTCCTTGGAAACCCTATACAGGGTCATTATGAGTCAGAGGGGGCACTCAATTAACAACAATATGTAAAGCACTAATATTCCTGCAGTTATTCAGTAAATACTAGCTCTCATCCTCCATACAAAACATCTTCTGTTAAGTTACAGGACAAGGCAGTGAAGCTGGCAGAATCAAGCGTAGACAGACTTTCATAATTAAAAAAGTATTCAGGCCTAGGATAAGTTCTGTAAAAAGTTTCATTCGATTAGCTAAATATATTCTTAGTTCCACAATTGTTAAGTGTTGTTAAGTGCCGTCGAGTCAGTTCTGACTCATGGCGACCCTGTGTAAGGTTTCCAAAGAGCGACTGGTGAGTTTGAACCGGTAACCTTTTGGTCCAAACTGACCTTGTGGTCCTGTGCTTATAGCACAGCATCAGAGCTTTTTTTTTT